AACCAAATCCCTGGCGAGCAGACACACAGACCAGCTGGGAGCCCAAACCAGCCAGTCGTCGATATAGGCCAGCACCCGAATACCTAGCAGACGCAGGTGGGTCACCACGACCCGAATGAGGTGTGTGAAAATGCGTGGTGCCAGATTCAACCCAAAGGGAAGACAACGAAAGCGGTAACCTTGACGCCCCACAACAAAACCGAGCCAGTCCCTGAACTCCGGATGAACCGGGACGTGCCAATACGCGTCCTTGAGATCCAGGGACACCATCCAAGTGCCCCTCTCCAAGAGAAGACGGACCTGGGACAGCATAGTTATCCGAAAGGAGGGGCACAACACCCACGGGTTCAGACGGGACAAGTCCAGAATGAACCACAGGTCCGCGCAGTCCCATTTCGGAACTGGAAACAGGTGGGAAACCCACCTGAGGGACGACATCGTTTCGACTACGCCCAAGCGAACCCACTCCGAGATGACCTGACAGACCGCAGGAGAAGAGGCCTGCCCCGCAAGCCCTGAACCCCCCGAGGGAGGAAGAGCCACCCAAGGCCACCACAGGCCGCGCGAAACATCCTAAAAGCCCATGAATTGTGGGACCAGGCGTGAGCAAACCGGGCGAGCCGCCCCCCATCGCCCCGTCAATGGGGCGAACCGCGAAAGGGCCGACGCACCTTGCGAGAACCATGGCAGCGAACAGGACGGAACCCACTCCGTCCAGCAACAGCCAGAACCGAAGGCGCCGCCAGCCTGAATCTGGCACCAAAGGCTTACCCCGACGAAAAGACCCTCGAGCCCTGGCACGACCCTTCCGGGAAGGCCCCCCATGAGCCCCCCGGAGCAACAACAACTCCGACATAGGCCGACAACTAACCGAGGCTGCCTGCAGATACTGCCCCACCGCAGACTCCGCAAACAGCAACGGACAAAAGGGCGAGGATAAACGAAGAGCCAGGGCCCAGGCGGACTCCAAGGAGGAAGCTAGCACCGCCTGACGACACGCGAGGCGAGAAGCATAGAACCGCGAAACCGCATCACGCAGGATGGGCGCGAAGAGCTTCAACAAAGCAGACGACGCCCGCACAGCCGAGGGCAGCGCACCAGACCCAGCAGCGGCCCCAAGCGCTCCCACATCCAACTCGAGCCAATCCGAGGATAGCTCCAGGAGGGAAAAGAAACGCAGAGCCGAAGCAAGCAGGCCACGAGTCCGCAAATCCTCCGCAATCAAGGCAGCCGAGAGGGAAGGAACCTGCACGTGAAGCTGCATGACACCAACATCCCGCGGAAGGGCAGGGGCAAAAAAACAAGCATTCAGATGCTCGAAAGCGCCCCCCAGGAAAACCTGCAACGCCAAGGAAACCTCTCGCCACTCATGTGCACAGGACCGACAGAACGTGTGCCAAGCCTCCAACGAAAAGAGAGGACAGTCTGCCAACCAGGACGACTCCGGAACCTCATAACGAAACCAGCACGAACCTGGGGATCCGTACACGAAGGAACGAGGATCCATCAGGAAGGCATAATCCGGGTCACACAAGAGGTAAGCCGCCAAAGCCTCCCGCACCTCCGAAGCTGAAACACGGGAAGCGAGAAAGACAGAACCTGGAAAGACAGAACCGAAGAGCCCTCGGGATCCACCCCTCCCCTAACTCGGGGAGGGGTGGACACCAAATCCAATTCGTACGCGGAGGGAGCGAAAGAGAACCCCCTCTCCTTGTAACACCAAGCCCCGCTCGGAGGGCAAAAAAAACCCAGGCGGGGTTCAATGGGGCCCAAGGCCCCCAAGCCAACCCCTCCCCAACCCCAGGAACCTCACCCAGAGGGCCCGGGGCCGAGCCGTCCTCCTGAGCCCCCACCCCCAAAGAAAACGTGGGAGCAGCCGACAAAGCAGGAACAAAGGGGGCCCACTGGCCAGACCCAAAAGCTTCGGCAGAAGGACCAGACTCGAATGCCTCCGCCACTGCCCTAGAAGGGGACACCCCCAAGACCGCCCAAGTCTCGCAACCGACTAAACCCTGCCCCGGCTCCGAAACCCTCAGACGTTTAGGAGCCGGCAGCAGGGAAGGGGGGGGACCAAACGAGCAACCGAAGGGGAAGGACTTGGAGGGGCGGACGGAACCAGAGCCGAAGCGACCCCCAGCCCCAAGTCCGGGTCCCTATAACCAAAACGGGGCAGTCTCGGGGCATCTGGGGCAGCGACCAACCTAGTGCGTTGCAACAACCTAAACCGAGCATGCAACGCCTCAGCTGCCCTCGCCCGCATATCAGGCGCAGTAGCCTGGGTGAACTGGAGTACGTACAGACAACACACGTCGCACGACTCTGGGTCAAAACAATCACCGACCCAACAGGCAGCATGGCGGAGGCAAAACCGGTGAGTGTCCCCCTGAGACAAGGGGACAGAGCAACCGTCAAACTCGCAGGACGCGAGGGGGGACTCAGGAGTCACATCCATCAGACCACGTAGCCCCCGTGGGGTTTTCCAGGGCCCTTAGCCTTGATAACACGCTAAGGGAAACCCAGGCAGGGTACTGCGAACCGGCACCCAAAACTACCAACAAACTGCTATAGCTGAACCCCCGGGACGTGTACACTCACGGGGGCCAAGCGGGGAGGACCACCAAGTAGACAAACAGGAGACAAACCCCAAGAACAGCAATGCGGGACCAAACAGGCAGACCCCCCCACCAGGCAAAAAGAAAAACCTCGCAAGAGGACAACGTACCCAGGCGGAACAGAGCCGGCCGCTGTTATAGGTGAAAACTAGCTGTGCAGTACCCTGCATCCCTGCCAGTGACGAAAACTACCCCTACCCAGAGACAAACAAGGGCAAGAAAAAACCCCAGCTGACCCCAAGGGCTGCCAAGTACCGAGCAGTACACGGCACAGCGGAGGTAGACCCCAAGGCGACCCAGGGAAGGTAGCCCTAAGCCCCAAGGGCAGTACTTAGAGGGCACCTAGGGAAGATAACCCTAGGCGCATGCAGCCCGAGCACCGTGGAATAATACTCCTGGCCCACACACCACCGGAAGGGACAGCTCACACCACCAGGAACAGAACTGCAACTGCAAACAGGAGCCAGAGGCATGACCGCTCCAGATCCATCAGCCTGAGAACTAATGGTTGGGTCGCCGACGGTGGGGTCTGGGGCTCCCCCTTCCCCCTCCCGGGGAGGGGGAGATTGCGCAGACTGCGGCGCGGCGACACGATGATGTCATGAGGGCTAATTTTCGTTTGGGGAGTTCTGTCTACCTGTTCGGTCTTCGGTCGCAATAGTTAACCAGAATAGGGGTTTGTTTTGGGGCGCCTACCTTTCTGGGTGCCTGTCCCGGCCGATGGCAGACATAGAATGCTCCCAATCATAAGGGTGTCTCTATAGGCCATTACTCATTACGAGGAGTAATGGCCTATAGAGACACCCTTATGATTGGGAGCATTCTATGTCTGCCATCGGCCGGGACAGGTTCTAGAGGGGGCCAGGTTCTGGCTCGTGGTCCCCGATAGGCAAGAATTCCATGCATTGACTGATGCCAGAAAGTTATACATATCCATTCAGCCTGGATAGCTCCGGGGAGCCGACGGGGCTCCCCCAGAAAGAGTAGTATTTAGTATAAAATGTATTTTTAAGTTGTCACGCGAATCCCCTGCATAGCAGTGGAACTACCTTTTCCCTTCACCTTCAATGCCTCTGCACTGGAAGTGTACATCTACACCAGCCCAGATGAGTCATCAGTCCTGCCACCTCTCCATACCCCCCAGGGCCTGGCACGGCCTGGTATGATTCAGAGGCAAGCGGAGCACCTCTGCTAACCGGTAGTTTGCCCCCACAAACAAGCAGTTAGCCGCCTTCAACTGGCAGTGGTGCAGCTCAACACAAAGGCACCGCCAGCCACAACGAGCAGTTTGCTAGTTGACCAGAGGTCCACCTTGCGTTGACACTGGATGAGTCATCACCGCCGGACTATATAAAGGGTGCTGCCTCCCTGGAGAGTAGCTACGGGCTCACCATAGCCCGTGCTACTTGGAACTTTTTGTTCCAGGTAGCGAATCTTTAACAACAACAACAACCCTGGAGAGCAAGTCTCTCCCTTTGTGCTCTAGGATCACTTTCGTGTCTCTCACCCGTCGTCCGCCTCCAGCCAACGTCGTGTGACGTTGTCTTCAGTACTTCAGTACAGTATTAATTGTTTATACTGTAGTTTATTTTTGCATTAAAGTCATATTAACTTGTTCACCTTTGCATTACATGATAGCCAAGTATTTTCAGGGGCATTTATGTTCATTAATATTTCAGTAAATTGTTTATTTATTTGATGATTTTCATGTGTTTCCACCTGCGACTTACACACTACAAGGCCAATAGCAGCATTTCTTTTATTTATGTGAGGGAGAGCCATACCATCTTGGTTCAGTATGGCTGCAATACCACAACCCGTCACAAAGTTAATATTTTTGGTGGTGTGAAACGGATTAATTCAATTTACATTATTTCTTATGGGAAAATGGGAATATGGGAAAATTTGTTTCGAGTTACGACCCGTCTCTGGGAACGATTTCAATTCGTAAGTGGAGGTACCACTGTACTTCGTATTTTGGTTTTATGACGGACTATGCGGCATTATGCAGCGAAAGAGTTAAATGCTGCAGTTTATATAAATACAGAATATCATTACAAAAGTAAACATGCTTGCTCAACAGTGCCAATACAGTATAGAAAAGGAACAAATATTAGTATAAAGTTAAAAAAAAACTCTACAGATGGTTCTTGAAAGACTAGATCAAAGGTAATTAGAAAGCAAAGGGTGGTACAGTGTTCCATCCAACAAGAGGCTTCTTCTCCCATTGCTAACGATAAAATTTCATCTGGAGATTGACTTGGTGTATATATATACGATATACATTCACGTAAAACAAACTAATCACAATAAGAAGTTGTATACCCTTTGTAACATTTCAACTTTCAAAAATGCAATTTAAATGTTTTTCATTTAAAAATCACTCACCTTGCTTGCTCAAGCTGAAACTGATCTTCCTGCTTTGAAAACTGTGAGAACTGTGCTGCCTCTCTTTGCCGCTGTTCAAGCTCCATCATTTTTTCACGCTCTAATCTCTCTAACTCCCTCTCTTGTCGTCGCTTTTTAACTTTCTCTAGCTCCAATCGATTTTCATCCATTTTGGCACGATTTTGCTTTTCTATGTCCTCTCTTCAAAAAAGAAAGAAAATTAAAATATATTATGAGCATAGGAACCCATAGCCTCGGGGAAGAAAACAAAGAGTACTCAGAGAAGACCTTGTGGATCCTCACCGAACACTTTGATATTTTCTTCTCCTACCATCAATATTCTTTTTGTATGTGTGTACAGTATATATATATATATCTTTATTTTAAAATTATGTATAACTAATTTCTGAATTAGCTTGACACATGCCAGTATATATTCTGCCTTTGATGAGCATAAAAATAGAATCAGTAACTGTAAAACTGATGCCAGACGAGAAAATCTCTTACAGGACCATGGACTGAATATCAGAAGCAGCAGTAAAACCCAGGAGACAAAATGTGTTACACATCAACAGAAATGGCTGCTTCTAGCTCATTGACAATATCAATGCTTCGTCGAAGAAAGGGTAGAAGGCAATCAACGGTGCCCCTAACTTGAAACCATCTGCTTGTGAGGATTTAGGCAGCCAAAATTACATCGGAAATAACTGTGATGAGGGTGTAGTAAAAGGGTTCTATATATTGTACCTGGCTGGAGTTATTGTTGTATTGGAAAGATGCTTGCTTGACTATTATTGTTTTGGTGACTGGCAGATCAGCTGTGATTCACATGTATATAGGTCGGTGTTATGTACTCTCTTATTTTCTGTTTGTTCTAGCTTAATTTCATATGCAGTTTGCTTGTTGTTATAATGAACAGAAAATTATTAAACTGTATGTATGTATGTATATGTGTGTATATATATACTGTCTCCAACTCAACTATCCGGACTATATGGGAAGGCCCCCCAGCCGGATTATCACATGTTCCGGATAATAGTACTTTTTCACCTCTGAGTCCAAAAGGGACCATTTCCGACAATTTTTGTACCACATGCATGATTTGAATTGACACACTAATTTGTGGCGCTGGTGCATGGGTGGTTAGCTGCCTAGCTGGTAGGTGGGCAGGGAAAGTGGGTGGGCAGGCAGGCAGGGATACGTGGATTCAGGCAGGTGGGTTTTGGATGAGTGGATGGCAGGTAGATGGGCTTGGTGGGTGAACAGGTTCGAGCAGGCAAGTGGGTGAGCAGGCAGGTGGGTGAGTGGGCAAGCAGGCAGGTGGGTGAGTGGGCAAGCAGGCAGGTGGGTGAATAGGTGGGTGGGTGCATTGACAGGTGGGCATGCAGGCATTTGGGTAAACAGGTGGGTGGGCAGGGAAGTGGGTGAACAGGTAGGTGGGTGGGTTAAGCAGGCAGGTGGGTGTGCAGGTAGGTGGGTGAACAGGTGGGTGGATGGATTGACAGGTGGGTAAGTGGGCGTGCAGGCTGGTGGGTAAACAGGTGGGTGGGCAGGGAAGTGGATAAATAGGTGGGTGGGTGAACAGGTGGGTAAATGGGTGTGCAGCCAGGTGGGTAAACAGGTGGGTGGGCAAGGAAGTGGGTGAACAGGTGGGTGGGCAGGGAAGTGGGTAAACAGGTGGGTGGGCAGGGAAGTGGGTGAGCAGGTGGGTGGGTAGGGAAGTGGGTGAACAGGTGGGTAAACAGGTGGGTGGGTAGGGAAGTGGGTAAACAGGTGGGTGGGCAGGGAAATTGGTGAACAGGTGGGTAAACAGGTGGGTGGGTAGGGAAGTGGGTAAACAGGTGGGTGGGCAGGGACGTGGGTAAACAGGTGGGTGGGCAGGGAAGTGGGTGAACAGGTGGGTGGGTAGGGAAGTGGGTGAACAGGTGGGTGGGTAGGGAAGTGGGTGAACAGGTGGGTGGGTAGGGAAGTGGGTAAACAGGTGGGTGGGCAGGGAAGTGGGTGAACAGGTGGGTGGGCAGGGAAGTGGGTGAACAGGTGGGTAAACAGGTGGGTGGGTAGGGAAGTGGGTGAACAGGTGGGTGGGCAGGGAAGTGGGTGAACAGGTGGGTAAACAGGTGGGTGGGCAGGGAAGTGGGTGAACAGGTGGGTGGGCAGGGAAGTGGGTAAACAGGTGGGTGGGCAGGGAAGTGGGTGAACAGGTGGGTGAACAGGTGGGTGGGTAGGGAAGTGGGTGAACAGGTGGGTAAACAGGTGGGTGAACAGGTGGGTGGATGGATTGGCAGGTGGGTAAGTGGGCATGCAGGCAGGTGGGTAAACAGGTGGGTGGGCAGGGAAGTGGGTAAATAGATGGGTGGGTGAACAGGTGGGTAAATAGGGGGGTGGGCAGGGAAGTGGGTGAACAGGTGGGTGGATGGATTGGCAGGTGGGTAAGAGGGTGTGCAGGCAGGTGGGTGGGCAGGGAAGTGGGTGAACAGGTGGGTAAGTGGCGAGACTAGAACAGAGACAGACGGCACGTGTGATCTCCTGCCTGGTCAACCCCCCCCCCCTCCCCCACCTCACGCCAGCCTTCCCATCTCCCCTCCACATGTGTCGACAGACACGTGGGTGTTGACACGCTGTACGATGCGCCTTAAGTTCTGTTAAATCCCATTTTATTTTATTGTAAATATTTAAATGAATAAATAGCAAACCACATACAGTACTGTACTGTACTGTTCATCTATTATAGTGTTATTTAATTAATATTCGTAACTAGCTCTCCACAGCAATAAGAAAACAATATAATTCTTGCAACACCGCCAACGCCACCTTCCTTCGTTAGGCTTAAGCGAGTCCCATACACACCACAATAGTTTTTCCTCCTTCCGTGACCAACTCCCTTCCTGACAACTCCCTTCCTCCCTTCCTGACCAACTCCCTCCCTCCCTGACCAACTCCCTTCTGTGACCAACTCCCTTCTGTGACCAACTCCCTTCCTTCGTGACCAACTCCCTGCCTGACCAACTCCCTCCCTCCCTTCGTGACCAACTCCCTGCCTCCCTTCCTGACCAACTCCCTCCCTCCCTTCCTGACCAACTCCCTGTCTCCCTTCCTGACCAACTCCCTCCCTCCCTTCCTGACCAACTCCCTGCCTCCCTTCCTGACCAACTCCCTCCCTCTCATCCTGACCATAATCCCCCAGGTGGTCCCTCCCAACGCTCCCCTCTCTCCCGACACCACCCACCCACCCTACCCCCTCCAACACCATGGCCTTGAGCTGTACGGGATTAATACAGTACGGCCCACCGGCTCAGATTTTTAACCGGCCAAACCAGCTTTTATCCAGCTCCCATGGCCATTTTGGCCGAATATTGAGATAACTTTATCCGTTCACGATTTTGGCCGTATAAGGGCGTTTTTCGGATGTTCGAATCCTGGATAATCGCGGGGTTACAGTATATATATATATATATATATATATATATATATATATATATATATATATATATATATATATATATATATATATATATATATATATATATATATATATATATATATATATGCAGAATAACCACATATGAAAAATAGAAAATGCTTAACGCGTTTTCGGCTAATTCGCCTTCATCAGAGCAAAGTAGAATGAAGATAAGTTTGCTGATCAGACCTTTATATCCGCCTGGGCAGATCACCTGACCACCAAAAATAAGTGGAGGAAAGGAATTATAAGAAAGAAGGTAACTGCAAAAGGCCTATTGGCCCATACAAGGCAGCTCCTTTTAATATCTCCAAGTGCCATACGTGTTTAAATGATTGCTATATTGTTTTGACGTGCTATATTGAGGCTTAAATAGGGATCCAACTTGTACATACCGGGGCTCACATTAAGGCTGTTGTTACAATGTTTGATCAGAGCAGACTCGATCACGTTTCGTTCAACAAAATCCTTACTTTTAACAATACATTTTGCCCCTGTGAAGTCGATAGAACCTGAAGAACCTTAATATTAATCTAGTGTTCAAAAATGATAATACAGTTAAGTCCATGTTAATTAAGAACTCGCCCTCGTCTGTAGCAGGTTGTGTGTATTCCATCCCTTGTAATGAGTGTGCATGTGTTTACATCGGCCAGACAGGTAAATCTCTTTCCTCGCGTTTAAAACAGCATTCATACGCTATTCGTACAGCCCAGCAATCCAGTGCATTGTATTTACATTCCAGTTTATGTAATCATTCTATCGACTTCACAGGGGCAAAATGTATTGTTAAAAGTAAGGATTTTGTTGAACGAAACGTGATCGAGTCTGCTCTGATCAAACATTGTAACAACAGCCTTAATGTGAGCCCCGGTATGTACAAGTTGGATCCCTATTTAAGCCTCAATATAGCACGTCAAAACAATATAGCAATCATTTAAACACGTATGGCACTTGGAGATATTAAAAGGAGCTGCCTTGTATGGGCCAATAGGCCTTTTGCAGTTACCTTCTTTCTTATAATTCCTTTCCTCCACTTATTTTTGGTGGTCAGGTGATCTGCCCAGGCGGATATAAAGGTCTGATCAGCAAACTTATCTTCATTCTACTTTGCTCTGATGAAGGCGAATTAGCCGAAAACGCGTTAAGCATTTTCTATTTTTCATATGTGGTTATTCTGCATACTTGGATCAGTGTTTTGTGATCATTGTTGCATATATATATATATATATATATATATATATATGGTGGATGGTAGAATGGTAGAATTCAACTCACTTCAAGACTCCGCTCCAATATAGAAGCATCAAGAAATATGGACCAATAGGCTTTCTACAATTACTTCCATTCAATACCCATTGTTTCGTGTTCTGTCTTGTGTTTGAATTTAATACCCATTCAATACCCATTGTTGAAAGTTTGTTTTCACCTCATCCACCTCACCCAAATGTAGATATAAAATCGAAGATGTGTAAGCTCTATTCAGTTTCAGTTGTGTGTTTGTAAACTAAAGTCTTTGAAAATGTAATAAGTTTTACGAAACGCGCTCAAGTGTCGCATCAGACTAGAAATAAAAATTAATTTTGGAGAATTGATCTTTGAATTACCATCAACAGTGAAAAGAAACGTAAGATCGAGAAAATTCGTATTAGAATTATTAATCTTACTTTTTCGGTCATATTTAATAATATATGTCTACAGGAAAGACTGCTACCAAAATATACTAATATATATATATATATAT